TATATATATATATATATATATATATATATATATCATTAACGAATCATAATTGATATTACCTAATGTAAGGTGACCATATTTTTTTAAGCCAAACCGTGACAGCAAGTTTTAGTTATCCTAATCCTGGACGGAACGGGACGGAGGCCCTTAAAATAATAAGTGCTATCTAAGGATACAATAAAAAATATCAATAATTACTTATTAATTTTCGGACGATCCGGGACAAAAGATCGAAATTCGGGACAAATATTGCTTTTAGAAAACCGAGAACAAAAGGTGAAAATCCGGGATTGTCCCGGCGTAATCAGGACGTATGGTCATCTTACTAATGGTGAAATATTTTGAGATAAAAGCATGAATTTTTGAATTTGTGATGCCAATGTGAATGATAATCTATTTCCTGAAACTTATGATAAAAGACGTATGGAATAACTTCTTATGGAGTTTTAGTTGCAGTATATCATATCATTCATATTCGATATTGACAAAGGTTGTGTGTTTGCAACATTTAATCACAATAGCAAAAGCAAATACTGAAAAAAAAAGAAAGTAATTCTCATCGACATAGTAAGATCCTTGTAGTCACAAGATTTGAAAAATATGGAGAAATACAAGATATCTATCCTTGTATTCACAAGAATATTAGTCACTGACATAGTAAGAATTAAAAAATATTGAGAAATACAAGATATATACCTTTGTAGTCACAAGAATATTAGTCATCGACATAGTAAGAATTGAAAAATATGGATACATACAAATCTACCTTTGTAGTCACAAACATATTGGTCATCGACATAGTAAGAATTGAAAAATGTGGAAGATACTAAATATTATAGTTAGTATTAATCATGATTCAAATAATATCGTGATACCTCAATTAATTAAACAAATATCTATACTATTACTATAAAATAGACTTGGAACAGAGAAAAAAAAATTGATGGAATTTGGAAAGTATCATTCATATTTCATGGATCATTATGGTGTGACACAAATGATAGAAAAATTACAAGATCTCAATTTATCAATGTTAATTATAATGCAGAATTTGTCAAGAAAATGGAAACATGAAACATGAATATCTAATTAAGTAAAGTTATCAAAGTCAAGATAGATTAGATAAGAATGGATGAAGAAAAATAAAATCATTTCATCATTGGCATCACAATATTCAATTATCATTTACTCCACTCTTCTTGGTTAATAATAAATGCTTTATGATTAATTAAAAATATATCACGATTGGGGGCTAAAATGAACTAATATTCTAAGATACTCATTTGATAAAAATGCTTTTTATACACATGCTTTAGTCTGTGGTATTATTCACTCCTGTGTGCATTCTTTGTATTTAATAAAGCGTTATAATATTAATATTTTCTTTATTTTTAAAGCCGTTTGGATTTATTTGATAAGTATTATTTTATTCTTCATTCTGTTTTTTTCATGCCTTGTTAACTGTTGTCTATTATGGAAATAATAGGTTGCCAATTGTAATTTATTATGAATAATTGTAAATATTTATTTATTGCATATAATATAGTCATAGTATAGTTTATTTGAATAAAGATTTTATCTCAATTGCGCTTTTCACTATTTTTGCTTAAAAAAAATTGTTGATGTATTCTTAAGTGTAGGAAACCTATTTTTCAGGTAGAACTTAAAAATTTTGGTAAAATTTAAACTATGTTTTATCCAGTTTAAATATTCAATCAACCATAAAAAACAAATTTGTAGCGTTAAAGTAAATTAAATAAAATCTCTCCATAAATACTGCTTTCTTCATTTTGTCAATACAAGTAAAATGTTTTTTGAATCATTAAAATCGGACGCTCCGTTCTTTTAAAAACTGAGTTACTGCCTTGTCGAAAAACTAATCAGCACGTCTCCTTATCAATAGGAATCGAATGTTTTTTGAATCATTCAAATTGGTTGAACAGTGTTCCCGAAATCGTCCACGAAAATTTGTATCCGAACACACACACAATCGCACATATATACATATATCCATTTTTTGTAAGGTATGTCAAAATATTTAGAAATCTTTGAAACGTATAAAGATATATACAAATTTTCATTTTCGTTTTTTTTGCGATTACTATTACAGACCCATAGTTAAGTAAACATAATAAAACAAAACATAAAACATGTACATACCCTACGGGAAGTTGAAAAAAAAATCAGTTTTAAAACAAATTATTGTTTTCAAAAAATATCAGTATTTTCAAGTTTTTCAAAAAATTTCTTGATTTTCAAAAAAGGACATTTTCTCAATAATCAAATTTTCCAAATATGTTCAGAATTTTGAAATGTCAAAAAATCAAATCCTAAACTTTAAAAATTTTGAAATTACGATACGGAAAGTCCTGCAATTTGCCTTAAGGCACTTAATGCACGATGTACCACTAGTTATTGAAGTTTTTAATTTTTGAATAAAGAAAAAACAAAATTTATTCGCAAATATTTTTATGTTGGCAACGGTAACATTAAAGCGAAGCGAAGTTCGTTCAACTGTCAAACAAATTAATGCACTAAATAAACATTTTATTTTTTGTATATTTAATTATTAATTAAATATTTAAGCTATTATATAAGTTTAAGTATAAATATAATAATATGTATTATAAAGCGATATTTGTGATTGATTGCTAAACATAAAGGTAGTGTATAATACTTTGAGGTTATTCCACATGACTAAAAGTTAGTCTGCAAATAAAATTACATATATTACACAAGTGCTCAATTATCAACTCAATAAATAAAATTGATGAGAATAATAAAAAATGTGAAGCAAAAATATAGTGTTTCGTGTTGATTTCAAGAAATTTACAACAAATTCTTTCGCTGTGTTTGATAGGTTATTAAGTCTGCTGCTAGAAGTTTTTGATAGAAATAATCCATCAAATTTTACATTTTTGATACTAATGTTTCCTTATTAACTCAATAAATATAAATGTCGAAGAAAAATATATTGTTTCGTGTTGATTTCAAGAAATTTACAACAAATTCTTTGAGAGTTGTGTGTTTGAGAGGTTATTAAATCTGCTGCTAGAACTTTTTGATAGAAATAATCCATCAAATTTTACATTAATGATACTAATGTTTCCTTATTAACTCAATAAATATAAATGTCAAAGAAAAATATAGTGTTTCGTGTTGATTTCAAGAAATTTACAACAAATTCTTTCGCTGTGTTTGAGAGGTTATTAAATCTGCTGCTAGAACTTTTTGATAGAAATGATCCATCAAATTTTACATTTTTGATACTATGTAATGTACTACACAATGTAATTTTATTTGCATTATCAACAGCAGAATCGCCAGCACCGACTGTGGAATGTTGGTAACACGGGGTATTCGGGGTATTCTAATATTGTCTAGGGTTGGTAACAATGGAAAATAATGCTGTCAGATAATTATGTTTAAGATATTTATGTCAAAAAAACTAGAAAAGCCTAAAACATTAAGATTTAATCATGATTTAATTGACTTTATAGCAATATTTTAACATTTTATACAGTAAAATTAAATTTTAAACAAATGACCTTGAGATTATTTTGCTGCTAGGTACTTGTGCTGCTAACTATACGCACGTCATTATATTTGTAATTTGTTAATGTAAAGTTCAATTTTACTGTTTTCCCTTTCAGGTCTGCAATTATTATATGACTTAAGCCTAGGTTTGAACAATAGTTGATTCAAAAACACTGTCCGTCAAATATAAAGTATTTTGAAGAAGAAAATATCTTGGTGACATTGTCCAAAATAGACTCCTGTTAACTTAATGTAAGATTACATTTTTAGACAAATCTATTATACGAATATATTATATTCTCAGAATCATTTATGTTGACAGTTGAGAATGATAATTAATTCGAACATGCATTCTTGTAAAATGTTACGAGAGCATAAATGCAATTGACTCACTAAAATCATACTCCATAATCCAACTGTCAACAACTAATGTTTTCATTTGTATTTCTAGTCAAATTAATTATCATATTTAACAATAGTTCATTTAAACTAACCAACTATTTTTGTTAATACTTATAGAACATACTCAGTGCACAAATATCTCAAAATGTCAGAAGCTGCTGATGATCCGATAATTAAAATTGAACCACAAGAATATCCAATTGAAGACATTAAACCAGAAATTGAGGAAGACCCTGAATCGTGTTCAGAGGATGACAAAACGTGTCTAAACAGATTTATGAACTCAATAGTGAAAATAGAAGAAAATGTTGAACAGGAATTAATTCCGACTGCCCCTTATAAATGTGACAAGTGTCATAGAACATTTAGAAAGTTGCATTATTTAGAACAGCATATGTTACATTCTTGTCATAGGGATGCATATTGTTCAGAGTCTTTTTCAGATGCAAGTGCATTAAAAATACATATAAAATCTTATACATGTGAAAAACATTTCACACGTACAAAGTGCGGTAAAGCATTTTCTGAAAAATATCATTTAGATGAACACATTTGTGCTCGTGCCAGAAAACAAAATATTCGCGCTCATACAGCAAAGGGACGAGGTGAACATCCCCATATTTGCCAAATTTGTGATAAGACATTCACATGTTTCGTTCACTTGAATCAACATATGCTTATTCATACTGGTGAACGGCCTCATATTTGCAAAATATGTAAAAAAGCATTCACACAATCGGGTAACTTGAATCAACATATGCTAATACACACTGGGGTACGTCCCCATATTTGCAAAATATGTGATAAGACATTCACACAATCGAGTAACTTGAAACAACATATGCTAATACACACTGGGGTAGGTCCCCATATTTGCAAAATATGTAATAAGGCATTCACACATTTGGTTTACTTGAATAAACATATGCTCATTCATACTGGTGAACGGCCTCATATTTGCAAAATATGTAAAAAAGCATTCACACAATCGAGTAACTTGAATAAACATATGCTAATTCACGCTGGTGATCGTCCCCATATTTGCGAAATATGTAAAAAGGCATTCAAAAATTTGAATGACTTGAATAAACATTCACTTATTCACACTGGTGAAAGTCCCCATATTTGCAAAATATGTAAAAAGGCATTCACACAATCGAATAACTTGAATAGACATATGCTAATTCACACTGGTGATCGTCCCCATATTTGCAAAATATGTGATAAGACATTCACACGTTCGAGTAACTTGAATCAACATATGCTAATTCACACTGGTGATCATCCCCATATTTGCGAAATATGTAAAAAGGCATTCAAAAATTTGAATGATTTGAATAAACATTCACTTATTCACACTGGTGAAAGTCCCCATATTTGCAAAATATGTAAAAAAGCATTCACACAATCGGGTAACTTGAATCAACATATGCTAATACACACTGGTGAACGCCCCTATATTTGCAAAATATGTAAAAAGGCATTCACACATTCGAGTAACTTGAATAAACATATGCTAATTCACACTGGTGATCGTCCCCATATTTGCAAAATATGCGATAAGGCATTCACAGAAATGGGTAACTTGAATAGACATATGGTCATTCACACTGGAGAATGCCCTTACAAATGCAAAATCTGTGATAAGATATTCAAACGTGCAGAAGCCCTGAAAAGGCACATGGGTGCTCATACCAATGAGTAATTAGTATTTACAAAATTGGTAACAAAATTACAGATGGCTGCTTATAGAAATTAATGTTAATTAGATATATGAATTAATTTATATATTTTATAAAATAAATAAACATTGTTATCAAGGGCTTTAGTAAATAGTTTATTAATAATGTTGTACATCCATACCAGGTTTAATAAGATTTGCAATTGAGCCATAACTGTTAGTCGAGTCTTCACAAAAAGCCTAGTTTTTAACTTACCGATAAGCTATTGTGATCATCCAAAAAACGAAACTGATAATTTTTGCATATCATTACGATTTAGAGGTTTCTAAATATTTTGGCATACCTTACAAAAAATTGATGTGTGTGTATGTGTGGATACAATTTTTCGTCGACGATTTCAAGCGTACGGATCAACCGATTTGGGAAATTCAAAAAGCAATAGATTCTTTCAAATAAAGAGACGTGCTGATTAGTTTTTGGTAAAGGTCGTCTAGCCGTTTCGGAGATACGAAGCAAAGAGTGTAGAAAATAGAAATCGATTTTTTGAGAGAAAGGGCATTCAATTTGAATAAATCAAAAAAACATTTAATTCATAATGATGTGGAAAGTGGTGATTAGTTTTTGGTCCAGCGGTCTAAATGTTGACAATTCATATTGAAAAACGATTATTTTTGGAAAAAGCCAATTTATTCTTTCAAAAAAAATTTTTTTTTAATGTCGAAAATAATTGGGATTTTAATGTTAGTTACAATTCCCAAGCTTACTTATTTACTTGGGCTAAATAATTTAAACTTTGCAATTCAGTTTATATAATTCTTAGAAATGGTCCTTCATTCTGCTTGGTTAACTTTTCGTAGGGTAAGTTATTGTAATCGTCCAAAAATCGAAATTGAAAATTTTTACATTTCTTCACGTTTTGAAGGTTTCTGAACATTTTGGCATACCCAGAAAAAAATGATGCGTGTGTGTGTTTTGTATCACTCAAAACACACACACAAACCCAAATTAACATACAAATTGTATGTCCGCATTTTTTCGTTCACGTTTTCGGGCGTTTCGGGATCAACCGATTTGAATGGTTCAAAAAACATTCGATTCCTATTGATAAGGAGATGTGCTGATTATTTTTGGGCAAAGGCAGGTCCAGCCGTTTCAGAGATACGAAGAAAAGACTTCAGAAAATAGAAATCGAGTTTTTGAGAGATCGGAGCATCCTATTTGATTAATTCACAAAACTTTCAGCTTGTGTTGACAAAACAGTTGCTTTTGGAGAAAAAAATTTCATTCAATTTTTTCTCTTTTTTTTGTAGATCGAAAATAATTCAGAATTAATTTTAATTCTGACTAAAGTTTTAAAGCTCACTTATATACTTTAAATGAATATTTTTGACTATGTGCTTCAGTCAAGTTATAGTAATCGCAAAAATCGAAAATGAAAATTTTTATTTATCTTTACGTTTCATAGGTTTCTGAATATTCTGGCATACCTTTAGAAAAAAATGGATGTATATGTGTGTGTGTATGTGTGTGTGTACTCTACCTTTATAGTCACAAGAATATTAGTCATTGACATAGTAAGAATTGAAAAATATGGATATAGACAAGATATCTACCTTTATAGTCACAAGAATATTAGTCATTGACATAGTAAGAATTGAAAAATAAGGAGAAATACAAGTAGTCACAAGAAAATTAGTCATTATATAGTAAGAACTGAAAAATAAGGAGAAATACAAAAGATATCTAACCTTGTCGTCACAAGAATATTAGTCATCGACATAGTAAGAATTGAAAAATATTGATACATACAAATCTACCTTTGTAGTAACAAGAATATTAGTAATCGACTTGTAAGAACAGAAAAATATGGAAGATACTAAATATTATAGTTAGTATTAATCATGATTCAAATAATATCGTGATACCTCAATTAACTAAACTATATCTATACTATTACTATATAATAATTTTGGAACAAACGAAAAAAAATTGATCGAATTTGGAAAGTATCATTCATATTTCATGGATCATTATGGTGTGACACAAATGATAGAAAAATTACAAGATCTCACAATTTATCAATGTTAATTATAGTTATATATTAATAATTATATAATGCAGAATTTGTCAAGAAAATGGAAACATGAAACATGAATATCTAATTAAGTAAAGTTATCAAAGTCAAGATAGATTAGATAAGAATGGATGAAGAAAGTTAAAATCATTTCATCATTGGCATCACAATATTCAATTTTCATTTACTATACTCTTCTTCGTTAATAATAAATGCTTTATGATTAATTAAAAATATATCACGATTGGGGCTAAAATGAACTAATATTCTAAGATATTCGTTTGATAAAAATGCTTTTTATACACATGCTTTAGTCTGTGGTATTATTCACTCCTGTGTGCATTCTTCGTATTTAATAAGCGTTATAATATTAATATTTTCTTTATTTTTAAAGCTGTTTGGATTTATTTGATAAGTATTATTTTATTCTTCATTCTGTTTTTTTCATGACTTGTTAACTGTTATGGAAATAATAAGTTGCCAATTGTAAATTATAATGAATAATTGTAAATATTTATTTATCGCATATAATATAGTATAGTTTATTTGAATAAAGATTTTATCTCAATTGCGCTTTTCACTAATTTTGCTTAAAAAATTGTTGATGTATTCTTAAGCGAAGAAAACTTATTTTTCAGGTAGAACTTAAAATTTTTGGTAAAATTTAAACTATGTTTTATCCAGTTTAAACATTCAATCAACCATCAAAAACAAATTTGTAGCTCAAAACTACATTTTTCAAAAATCGAAATGCTAAAGTAAATTAAATAAAATCTCTCCATTAATATTGCTTTCTTCATTTTCTCAAAACAAGTAAAATGTTTTTTGAATCATTAAAATCAGACGCTCCGTTCTTTTAAAAACTGAGTTACTGCCTTGTCGAAAAACTAATCAGCACTTCTCCTTATCAATAGGAATCGAATGTTTTTTGAATCATTCAAATTGGTATGGCCATTCGATTTTATGTAAACTAAGTAAGATATATCACTGGATTATCTTAAATAATATCATACTTATTTAAATGTACAATTCAGCTCATAGAAATTATTTTTGTATTTCTGATTGCTGAAATAAAGTGAAAAAAAAAATTCAAATTGGTTGAACAGTGTTCCCGAAATCGTCCACGAAAATTTGTATCCGAACACACACACAATCGCTTATACACACATACATCACTTCTTATACATCTACTCTTCTTTTATCTATGCATACATCCATTTTTTGTAATAAGTTATGCGAGAATATTTAGAAATCTTTGAAACGTAAAAATATATAAAAATTTTCATTTTCGTTTTTTTTGCGACAGACAGACCCTACGAGAAGTTAAAAAAAAATCAGTTTTAAAACAAATTATTGTTTTCAAAAAATATTAGTATTTTCAAGTTTTTCAAAAAAAATCTTGATTTTCAAAAAAGGTCATTTTTTTTAATAATCAAATTTTTCAAATATGTTCAGAATTTTGAAATGTCAAAAAATCAAATTTTTTTTATAATTTTTTTATAATCAAATTTATAAACTTTGAAAAATTTGAAATTACGATACGGAAAGTCCAGCAATTTGCCTTAAGGCACGATGCCACACTCCACTAGTTATTGAAGTTTTTAATTTTTGAATAAAGAAAAACAAAATTTATTCTCAAATATTTTTATGTTGGCAACGGTACAATAAAGCGAAGCAAAGTTCGTTCAACTGTCAAACAAATTAATGTACTGAATGAACATTTTATTTTTTGTATATTTAATTATTAATTAAATATTTAAGCTATTATATAAGTTCAAGTATAAATATAATAATATGTATTATAAAGCGGTATTTGTGATTGATTGCTAAACATAAAGGTAGTATATAATACTTTGAGGTTATTCCACATGACTAACTTTTAATTATATTTATTTCATTCCGAAAAAACATTTAATTCTAAATAAAGATACGCAAAGAAAATGTAAAGTTCAATTTTACTGTTTTCCCTTTCAGGTCTGCAATTATTATATGACTTAAGCCTAGGTTTGAACAATAGTTGATTGAAAAACACTGTCTGTCAAATATAAAGTATTTTGAAGAAGAAATTATCTTAGCGACATTGTTCAAAATAGACTCCCGTTAACTTAATGTAAGATTACATTCACGGACAAAACCATAATATGAATATATTATATTCTCAGAAACATTTGTGTTGACAGTTGAGAATGATAATTAATTCGCACATGCATTCTTGTAAAATATTACGAGAGTTTAAATGCAATTGACTCACTAAAATTATACTTCATACTCCAACTGTCAACAACTAATGTTTTCATTTGTATTTCTAGTCAAATTAATTATCATATTTAACAATAGTTCATTCAAACTAACCAACTATTTTTGCTAATGCTTATAGAACATACTCAGTGCACAAATATCTCAAAATGTCAGAAGCTGCTGATGATCCGATAATTAAAATTGAACCACAAGAATATCCAATCGAAGACATTAAACCAGAAATTGAGGAAGACCCTGAATCGTGTTCAGAGGATAACAAAACATGTCTAAACAGATTTATGAACTCCATAGTGAAAATAGAAGAAAATGTTGAACAGGAATTAATTCAGACTGCTCCTTATAAATGTGACAAGTGTCATAGAACATTTAGAAAGTTGCATTATTTAGAACAGCATATGTTACATTATTGTCATAGGGATGCATATTGTTCAGGGTCTTATTCAGATGCAAGTGCATTAAAAATACATTTAAAATCTTATACATGTGAAAAACATTTCACATGTACAAAATGCGGTAAAGCATTTTCTGAAAAATATCATTTAGATCAACACATTTGTGCTCGTGCCAGAAAACAAAATATTCACGCTCATACAGCAAAGGGACGAGGTGAACGTTCCCATATTTGCCAAATTTGTGATAAGACATTCACACGTTTCAATCACTTGAATCAACATATGCTCATTCATACTGGTGAACGGCCTCATATTTGTAAAATATGTAAAAAAGCATTCACACAATCGAGTAATTTGAATCAACATATGCTAATACACGCTGGGGTACGTCCCCATATTTGCAAAATATGTGATAAGACATTCACACATTCGAGTAACTTGAAACAACATATGCTAATACACACTGGGGTAGGTCCCCATATTTGCAAAATATGTAATAAGGCATTCACACATTTGGTTCACTTGAATAAACATATGCTCATTCACACTGGTGAACGGCCTCATATTTGCAAAATATGTAAAAAAGCATTCACACAATTGGGTAACTTGAAACAACATATGCTAGTACACACTGGTGATCGTCCCCATATTTGCAAAATATGTGATAAGACATTCAGACATTCGAGTAACTTAAATCAACATATGCTAAATCACACTGGTGATCGTCCCCATATTTGCGAAATATGTAAAAAGGCATTCAAAAATTTGAATAATTTGAATAAACATTCACTTATTCACACTGGTGAACGTCCCCATATTTGCAAAATATGTAAAAAGGCATTCACACAATCGGGTAACTTGAATAGACATATGGTCATTCACACTGGAGAATGCCCCTACAAATGCAAAATCTGTGATAAGGTATTCAAATGTTCAAAATCCCTGAAAAAGCACATGGTTGCTCATACCAATGAGTAATTAGTATTTACAAAATTGGTAAGAAAATTACATATGACTGCTTATAGAAATTAATGTTAATTAGATATATGAATTAATTTTTATATTTTATAAAATAAATAAACATTGTTATCAAGGACTTTAGTAAATAGTTTATTAATAATGTTGTACATCCATTCCAGGTTTAATAAGATTTGCAATTGAGCCATAACTGTTAGTAGAGTCTTCACAAAAAGCCTAGTTTTTAACTTACCGATAAGCTATTGTGATCATCCAAAAAACGAAACTGATAATTTTTGCATATCATTACGATTCAGAGGTTTCTAAATATTTTGGCATACCTTACAAAAATTGATGTGTGTGTATGTGTGGATACAATTTTTCGTCGACGATTTCAAGCGTACGGATCAACCGATTTGGAAAATTCAAAAAGCAATAGATTCTTACAAATAGAGAGACGTGCTGATTAGTTTTTAGTAAAGGTTGGCCAGCCGTTTCAGAGTTACGAAGCAAAAGTGTAGAAAATAGAAAACGAGTTTCTTAGAGAAAGGTGCATTCAATTTAAATGATTCAAAAAACATTTAATTCGTAATGATGAGGAAAAGTGGTGATTAGTTAACAATGCATGTTGACAAAACGATTATTTTTGGAGAAAGCCATTTTTTTTTCAAAAATAATTTTTTTTTAATATCGAAAATAATTGGAATTTTAATTTTAGTTAAAATTCCAAGCTCACTTATTTACTTGGGCTATATAATTTAAACTTTGCAATTCAGTTTATATTATTCCTAAAAATGTGAGATAAAGTCCTTCATTCTAACTCCGCTTGATTAAGTTTTATTTATTTAGTTATTGTAATGGTCCAAAAATCGAAATTGAAAATTTTTACATTTCTTTAAGTTTTGAAGGTTTCTGAACATTTTGGCATAATCAAAATAAATTGATGTGTGTGTGTATGTATGGATACAATTTTTCGTTTACGTTTTCGGGCGCACGGATCAACCGATTTGAATGGTTCGAAAAACATTCGATTCCTATTGATAGGTAGATGTGCTGATTAGTTTTTGGCAAAGGCTGGTCCAACCGTTTCGGAGATACGGCGCAAAGAGTGCAGAAAATAGATATCGAGTTTTTGAGAGGACGGAGCATCCTATTTGAATGATCCAAAAAACATTCAATTAGTAATGATTGGGAGAACAACATTTTATAAAAACATTAAATCAGAATTATTTTTGATTATTACAAAAATTTTTTTTTAGAAATTAAAAAAAAATATTTTTTTTTTAACTTCCCGAAGGAGAAGTTTATGTTTTCATCAAAAAACATCGATTCGCTAATTTTATGTGTGGCGATATCAAGCAGGCTGGTTTTGATTTGTAAAAAACAATCGGACATGTCATGTATATTTTTGATATCGAAATATTTTTTTACAGTTAATAAATTTATATTTTTTTATTATGTTGGGAGTTTCTAATTTAATATAATGTCATAATCATTACAACTCCCACATTGGTGACCCCGACGTGATATGAAGACAAAAAAAAAGGAGCTTTATTTTTCGATGATTTGAGAAAAATTGATTTTGACGCAGCACCATAATCACTGGTCTTCAGTGACGACCTATAAGGTATGTCCAGTCCAATCCATCATAGTTAACGCACTTACTATCTGGATCAGACTTCCGAGGTTACTCATTTGGTATACCCAGACCTCAGTGTTTATTGCTGACAGAAAATATAATTTGGAGCCTGAACTTTTCATTGGAATGCAATTCAACCTCTCTTTCTCTGTTAACTCAACAAATCGTCTTATAATGCTACCTCCCATTATCGGTGATAACGACGAGTCAAAACAAAATATGACATAATTTATTGGATTCCACAATTCTGGACTCTTATGTCAAAGAAACCAATGATCCTGATTTGGATAAAGAGCCAACTTCTTTCTCTGATCGGAACTCATCAGATACGAATGCAACGCTTGCAGAAATGGAAACTGTACCCATAAATTATGCATTCTAAACATTAAGTTATTCTGATATAACTAATACCCATTAGATCGAGAACATTATGCAGAATATGGAGTTGATGGCAGGTCAAATCACCACATACGGTGGATCTGCTGACGAAACATGGAAATTTGTAATTGACCAGTATTACAACACTGGTCTGCTATAATCTGCTTTCCCACCACATTTTTATAACGTGTTTCCCTGTATTTTTTTTTAAACTGTGAGATCAACACTGGGCAGGGAGTGTGTGGCGATATCAAGCAGACTGGTTTTGATTTGTAAAAAACAATCGGACATGTCATGTATATTTTTGATATCGAAATATTTTTTTACAGTTAATAAATTTATATTTTTTTATTATGTTGGGAGTTTCTAATTTAATATAATGTCATAATCATTACAACTCCCACATATGTTTTTTCGACGTTTCAAGCCATTCTGAATCGAATGAGACCAAATTTGGAAAAAGTATGTGTGTGTGTGTGTGAACATCAGATTTTTTGCCGTAAATCGACGTTTTCTCAAAAACGGCTGGACCGATTCCAACCATTTAAAAGCCATTCGATGTATCTCGATGAGGATTTTCGTTTGTCAGTTTTGTGCGACGATCGGCCGAGCCGTTTTTTTGTAATTTGGAAAAAAGTGTTGAACTTTTCGTTCACATTTAAGCTCATTCTACCGAATCGATTTTAAAAAATCAAAAACTGTTTGAAAGATATTAGTGGGGAATGATGCTGATTAATTTTAGATGAAAATCTACCGAGCCGTTTTCTTGTAATTAATAGTTGAAAAATATATTTTGCTTAATGATTACAGCTTAAATCCACAAGCTATATTTTCAATGGCTCTACTCGTAATTTTTCCGCCAGCCAAAGCGCCACTAATGTTTAACTATCTCACTCTTTCAACCAATGACGAAACGAAAAGCTCTTTGAGTTTCCATCATAGACCTTATACAATACATTTATGAAATTGTATAAGGTCTATGGTTTCCATATCTATACATACAAACATAATGCACTCGTTAAAATGTTTCCACACATATATATGTCTCGAAGAGAAGAGTCCTTTTTTAAAATCTTTTTCATTTATTTATTTTAATTTAATTTATTTCTTAATAATTTATAGAATAAAAAATTATTGTGAAAGACAGATCAAATTGCTTATTCTAAAGGATTAATTAAGTAATTATTTACACATTTCGGTAAGTTCTTGCAACTTGCCTTAAGGCTAAATGCACTTCCAACTAGTTCTTTTCCCAAAAGCAATCGTTTCGTCAACACAAGCAGAAAGTTTTTTGTATCATTCAAATCGGATGCTTAGTTCTTTCAAAACCTGCCTTTTTTTGCACATTTAGCTCCGTATCTCCGAAACCGCTGGACCTACCTTCGCCAAAAACTAATCAGCACATCTCCCTAGCAATAGGAATTAAATGTTTCTGAGCCATTCAAATCGGTTGATCCGTGCGCCCGAAAACGTGGACGAAAACTTGTATCCATACATACATGCACACATACACACATCCATTTTTTATAAGGTATGCCAAAATGTCAAAACGTGAAGGTATACAAAAAATTTCAATTTCGATCTTTGGACGATTACAATACTTACCCTACTTGAAGTTAAAATATTAAAAAAAAAAATATTTCGGGTACTGCGGTGTGAAACGGCAATGGAAAATCTCTCACTCTATTTTTCCCTGAATCGAGTTGGAGTGTAATTCAACCCACGGACCATTTTAGGACAGTACCACCGAATACCGATCATTATATTATTCTCTCCGAAACTGCTGAGCATGCCCTTGGCAAAATTTTTTGAACACGTTTCCCACGAATATGAATCGTACTTTTTATCTAAGGTACTCTTCTTTTATCTACTGGTTTTAGTAAAAACTATTTACTTAATTATATACTTTTATAAACCGGATCGGACCACTTCTGCAAAAATAGTGCCTCCTGCACGTCGACAAGCAATAAATAAGCATAAAGACGACTTACGTGAGAAGAGAAAATCAAGAAACTGAAAGCCGAAGCACGGGTTCAAGGTGCATGAAGCAAAAGTTCGGAAAGGAAAATACACGAAAAGAAGAAAAACGGGCGTGGGGAATTTAATAGTGGTAATGGGAATGGGTAAGGTGGTCATTTATTTGTGATGGCTCTCACACTATGGACCTGCTTTCAGACAGACTACCATTTATTATTATACTTTTTATAATCTTATAAATTATAATACATAATCTTCATTTGACAATAATAACCGTTATATTCTTTCCAATCTTCGATCACTAGTTCACATGTTTATTAACTTCCCGTAGGGTAAGTTATAGTAATCGCAAAAATAACGAAAATGAAAATTTTGATATATCTTTACGTTCCACACGCTTCTATACATATTGACATATCTTATAAAAAATGGATGTATGTGTGTGTATACATTTTCGTCGACAATTTCGTCTATAACATTGATCAACCGATTTAAATAATTCAAAAAATACTCGATTCGTATTGATAAGGAGACGTGCTGATTAGTTTTTGACAAAGGCAGTTCTAGCCGTTTCGAAGAGTTCGTGTTCTCCCGAGCCTAATGAATGTATTATAATAATAATTATTTTAGAACTTGGTGTTATTTTAGAAGACAGATGATTACTAGTAATCTTGCCTCAGGTAATTAAGTACAAGTAGCTTAGATATTTATTTCGAATAAGGTATCTTTAAACCAAGTATCTGTCTTTTTTGTGATAATATATATAATAACATGCTTCTTGTTTAATAGGTTATACGAGGGGCATGTAAAAAAATAAGGTTCCCATATTTTTTTTCAGGGTTGAGGCATTTTTTATTGCTATAAATGTGTATACCATCGGAAACTATTTGAGGAGTTTTTCACTTCCGAAAACCCGCTTCGAAGAACTCCGCCGCCACGCCCTTGCTCAGCCTTCTTCTCCGGCGATTTTGAATGGCTCTTTTGAGTTTTGTTAGTGTCTCGCAGTACCTGTCCCAATTTATAGTGGACCCTTTAAGCA